ATCTGCTTATTTTGTCTCTATTTTCCATTCAAGACATCTGCTTCTCAACAGGTGTCCCAGGAAAGCAGGTGGCAGGTATGTCTGGGATGGGGTCCTGTGGCTGTACTCCTTCCTCTAGTCTTGCCAGCCAACTGTGTTCTCTGATGTGGCACACCTCTGACTCATTAGACTACAGCTGTTCTTGGTAGGTAGCACTGATAAGTTGCAGAAAAATATTCTTTCTTGCCTTTTTCCATATGTTACACTGGCTGTATCTCAGGATACTGCTGCTCTTACTAAATAGCCAGGTCTAATGCTGCATTGAGTCGGCACTTAAAGTCTAATTGCAACATATTGCTTTACACTACAATGGGTCTGATCATGGATATACATATTGTTGAGGTTCTATGTAGATAGAGAAAGGCATTTTCTTTCAGTACTGCCAAAACTTTGGACGAAAGAGTGGTACAATAAAGTTTGTACAGTGCCTCCTTGTGCTGTGCTTGGGTTAGCCCTTTAGTTTGATGAGCACTAAGCACATTTAAAAATAGTAATAAGAACTCATCATCCTACTCTCTACTGATAATTCCCTAGATACCGAGGTGATTGGGGTGATAAAAAAAATCACAGGCAGAGACAGACAATTGTGTTTATAAGGTCACACACTGGACAGGCACATTTCCTGGTATGTCATTCAACAAAGATGTAGTTAATTTAGCCCATATGATATTTTTATTATTTTATGGTGTACCTATGATTCACAGAGATCTGTATCTTCCTGGTTATTTTTCATAGAAATAGAAGCCTATCTTTATTACAGTGATTCCCTCAGATAACAGTCTTCCTGACTACAAATGGCTCTGAATTAAAACCCCAGAACCCCTGGAAATCCAAACCTAGTTCTGCATAACAATTTGAAAATAGCCTCTGTCTTTGTCATGGGTCAAATCAAAATTCTGATCCAGATGCATTTGAGCATGCAGGGCCAACGCACAATTTTTGGGGCCCCCTGTAAGATATAGTTTTGGGGCCCCCACTCCACTGAAAAATCAAAATTGCAGTCTTGCTTTCCTTTCCCCCCCAGTAATAGAACACTAAACGTAAAAAAAGATAACAATCATTTTGCGTTTTCCATTCAAAGCGTTGGGGTGGGGGTGCCCTGGATAACTGCCCCGGTAATGCAGCAGGGATTACTGTATAAACTTTCTGAACTAAAATAGTTGGGGCTGGGTTATGTGCACGTGGACTGCGTGGGGTGGGGACAGCATGTGCTGGGGACACCTGGGTTCCCTCCCCATGGCCGGGGCAGGAGTGGAGCTGGGAACTTCTCCCTCGCTCAGCTGGGAAGGGGCTGCCAGCATTGAGCCCTTTAAACATGGCACAGGTGGCGGGGGGCGAACGGGGCACGGCCCCTTGGCTGCGGGACCCCCTGCGGCCGCAGGTTCCCCAGGATAGGACAGGCCGGCTCTGTGGACATACTTCAAATACAGGTTCAAGTGCTGCACCTTAGGATCAGATTTCTTTTAAAGGGAAATGAAATTTTCCAACAAAAATGCATTTTTACAAATATTTATAATAAATGTTAGAAGAATAAGAAAGACTGTAAAGAGTGATATCTAGGTCAAGGCAGTCAACTTGTGGCATGTGTGCCATAAGTGGCATGGGCAGCCTCTGTGACATGTGGCAGATCAGAGAAGGGACAAGCAAAACAGTGGCAAGGTGGGCAGGCAACAGAAAGCAGAGCAGCAGACTGGGCAGAGGAAGGGGGGGCAGTGGTATTTGGGGAGGATGCAGGGCTAATTTGTGGCATTGCTTGCCATAAAGGTTGGGCCTTACTACTCCATGTCCTACATCAGCTAGCATCAGTTACTGCTTAAGCACATAAACACTGTCAAGTTTGTCTGCAAAGTCACAGAATTAGTTTCTAACTCAGTTCTGCAAGATATAGCAGGATACTTCTAAGTAATTTAATGCCAAATTCTACTCCATGGTCCAGATTATCTTTTGCTCCAGTCACTTTGTGTCACTAGAATCTGCCTTTCCCTGGCCTGTGAGGAATTCCTTTGCAAAGATGAACCCTCAGTTAGCTATACCAGCTGCTTTCCCCCTCTGGCATAAGTAGTGTACTGGGGCTCAGATGCACCTCTGTCTGCCCATTTATGACTGCTGATTGGTCTGATAAGACCATAGCCAGTTGACATATGTTAGGGTTGATCCTAAGTAGCTCTAACTCAAATTTATGGGCCAAGTCCCATGCCAACACACCAAAATGAGGGAGGTACAACTTTATCTCTGTCTTCTTCCCATTTCTCCTGCACCACTCTGTTTCGGCACAGACTGGGTATGGGCCTCTATTAAGGAGCTTTTTGGGGTTTGTGCAATATTGCTGGGGGACTGTATACAGCACAGAAGGTAGCTTTACCAAAGTGGTGCCTGGAGTGGTGCTATCCCTAGATTTTAACTTCAGCTCTGCACCTACCTCCCAATACATAGAAACCCAATCAATGCACAGGGTCCCTTCACACACAGCAACTGGCCAGCACATTTTGAGTCATCTGTATAAAGGAAGCTGAGTTTCTTTTTTTTTTTTTTCAGGATTCAGAAGAACAAAATAGAATAAAAAAGGTCTCATGGAAAAATAAAAGCTTCTGCAGTCTCTCAGGGGAAAGTAGCTTTGCATAAGGAGAGACGTGCAACATGGTTCAAGGACTCATTGCTTTGATATGGAAGCTGTTCTTTAGAAGTGGACATGTCAGAGCACACAACAACAGCAACAAAAGGAAGAGAAGGACAAAGGAGCCATTAGAAACCCAAAGGAATGCTGACCTTTCCGCCTTGTGCTTATTGAGGTGTTCCATTAAGGGAAGAGCAGCTACAGCAAAGCCTGCACAACACAAGAGGCACAAGATCTCTCTTCCTTTAATTAGTATTTGAATTGCTTCCCAACCTTCATGATTTGGCATCAGCTCCTTGTCACCAAAGCTGTCAACACAGACCTATTGATTCACAGAATTCAGGGATGAGGTCATCACTTCAACAAGGGCCTGGGAGGAGGGGGGTCCAGTGTATTAACAGTACAGAATGCCTTTGTTTGCCTATGCTCTTCAGCTTCAGAAAAGTAGCTATGAAAATGGTTCTCTGCCAGAAGGCCACACTTGGAGATCTCTATCTATCTCAAGTGGGTAGAATTTAGTGGATGTCTCTGCAGTGTCTCAGCTCCAATGCTGAATGGAGCAGCTGTGGTAGATGACTAGCAAGACTATTACAGAAAAAAACATATCCTAGGCCTCTTCTAGCAAAGTGAGTTTTGCATATGGTCCATATTTCAGCACTTAACAACAACTACTGAGTGCCTGATGGAAAATGATGGTCTAAAGATTTGTCAATTATAAGGTCCTTGTTCCAGAGATGTATAAGGTCAGCAGAGATCTGACCCTATAACATGTGCTGGACACTACAAGCCAGTAACTAGAGTAGTTTGTTTGGGTTTCCCATACAGCCTCTGCAGGACAAAGAATAAGACAGGGCAGACAATTATGTTGGGCAGAGGGCAGCTTACCGAGTTTCAACAAGCCATTGAGGGCCGCATTACAGGCAGCCCAGGGCAGATTAATATTCATTTTCCGAATGTTTTAGGGGCCCCACAGGCCAGATAGAATGGCCTGGTGGGCCACATCCAGCCCCCAGGCACATATTGCCCACTCCTGGGATAAGAGGACCTTGCCTCAACATCAGGTCCCTACCTATCTATGGAGAAGCTGTGGAACTGGTAGTACCTCTGTCATAAGGGGAGGGCCTGGATTTATCCTTGAAAACCCTGTTAATACCCTAATTTAGAGGGTGTGATCCAATGTCTGGAACTCCATGGTTTTCACTGCTAGCAATGGACACATCAATGAAGCCAAACTAGATGGTCACTCATCCTCCAACCATTCACTTAGAGTGTGAATTAGCACAGGCCAGTTCTAATGTCGGACTAGATGATCTGCTCAGGTCCCTTCCGACCCTAGAAACTATGAAGCTATAATGCCATCTCTGCCCCTCACTTGGCTTAATGTTCTGCACTTAGAGCACCCCACAGATACTATCTGTTTAGGCCTCTTAACCTGCCTTTTATAACATCCTTTCGGGTGTCCAGCCCATGCTGGCAAGCCTGTGCAGAGTAGGCACAGACATAGGTGGCATTACGTTACACAGGGAATGCCATCAGGGTTTCCAGGAATCAGAGGAGATCTGCAGAGAGCTCCAAAGAGTTGTGATGGGAGAAGAAATAATGCCATGTCAGGTCAGTTCTTCCTTCCTCTCCCAACCACCACCCACCACAAGGTAGCCAGGGTATTTCAGCAGGTCTATCTGTTAACAACTAGTCCACATTGCTTTGCCTATAAAAGCAGATGGGAGATGTGGCCCATCACACTCCATCTCCAGAACAAGAGAAGACTTATCCTAATTGTTGACACTTTATCAAAGCATTTACTAGTCTGAGTAACCCAAGGGAAACATTTACTCTTTGCCTCTACTGAGTAGAGAATGTGCACCCTCCACAGCAAGCAATATGATTCGGACCTGGAGGGAATGCAAGGAGATTCTAGCTACAGTTATGAGGATGCTTTGTGTGCAATGCAAGCCCCTGAAGGATCCATGTACTGGTTAATGAAACACTTAAGTCAAGGATTCCCCATTTGGGGGTTAGGAACAATGTCTTTGGGACTCCCTTGCATTTCTTTTACCAAATGGAAGAGGGAAGAGCTGGGTCTCAGAATGGAAAGAGTTAAGTGCCACTTTACTGATACTTTTATCTGTCACTTTCCTGGCTGGCTCTTCTGTCCCCCCACTGCCTATTCACATTGATCAGGCAATGATTTTGTCCTGTCAAGCTGAGGTGTAGCAAAAAGTCAACAGCTTGATTTACAATGGTGCAGTTATGGAGATGTGAAGAGCAGAAGGGGCAGGAATATAAATTAAATGGGAACAAAGAGAACGACACTGCACTGAGTTTAAGATGGTAGGAGGCATGCTACCTGCTGAGCCTCACTGGGCAAGTCATCACTGGAAGAACTCATTTCTGGTTTTGCTGCTTCCTCCTTCTTCCTCTCCTCTTCCTCTGAAGAAACACCTTTGTCACTGATGTTGCTGGCCAACTCTTCCAGCTTTTTTTTCAATTCCTCTTCTTCCACATCAGGATCATTAGGGGGCTCCTGGCCTGGAGACTGGAAGAATGAGAACAAGTAATTCTCAGTCTGTTGGAGTTCATGCAATTTACATGCTGCTGGGATTTTTAGTTTACTATGACAGGTATTTATTCCAAAATTATTAAAAAGGAAAAAAAAGATTCTGTTACTGAACAACCAAATCACTTTGTATATCTTAATAAATTTTGGTAGAAAATTGGGATATCTATGAAACTAAATTTTTCAAACAAAAAAAGTTGTAGGTTTGTAGTGTTGTTATAGACATGATGGTTTAGGAAATGTACAAGAAGCAAGGGCCTTTTTTTAAGGGGGGCATGATATCTGATCTGAAGAAGGATGCTTTGTGCTCAAAAGCTTGCCAGCCTTCTCTTAAATATATAGCTGATCCAATAAAAGATATCACAAAAAACCCATGCCTCTCACAAGTGTTATTTTCCATAAAAATGTATGATTTTTCATCACAAATGAAATATTCTGGCTGAAAATACTATTATGATTTGCCAGTGCTGTCAGAGAAGGTGGTCACTGGATACAGAATGAACATGATGCACTGCCTCCTCTCCCCAAGAGGCAAGATCATAGTTCATTGTGGGAACTTGGCAGATTGGACAACAGAAGAGGAGAGAATGAGATATGCAAGCTACCATGACATAGGTCTGCTAATAAGCAATTTTATGAAGCGATAAGTCTCATTTAAAACTTTGATCCAAATACCCCCAGACTTTGGTGATGCTTGGAGCCAGTGCCAAAATTTTGAGCTCGACCTCATCCATAATCTTATCGAGGAGGAAAATTACCGTCAGTTCAAGCCATGCCTTCACGATTTTTGGTAATTTTCCATTCTACTGAGCTACCAGAGGCTACATCAGTTTACTGTAACATGGTCCTATATCAAAGAAAGAGTAAGTAGAAGTGCATAAATATCCAGCAGTTAGAAACTCAGACTGATGCCAAGTGAACAGCATAATACCATAAGACTCAATGGCACAAAAGAACTTCAGTTAAATTTACCTTTTTCCTTGACAGCATGACAAAGGCCATACAATAGTGGCAGCCCATGAAAAAAAGAGAAATGCCCTTCTAAGTCAGGGCTTCTTATTCACAACATGCAGGTTATTTACACTGAATTCTGTTATGGATTACTGTATGGTTTCTGGGGAACTATCATCATTCTGGAAGCATGTATACACATAGAAGGTCATTGCTTAGATTAGAATATAATTTTGCAGAGACTGGATTGAAGAGCAGCTAATTTGTGAACTAATTAGAACACTGCTGGAACATTTAACTTCCAATTCCATTAGACTGAGTTGTTCTGATGAAGACCCACCAATGCTAAATCTTCCATGGTAGAGTGCCCTGTTCCTCTTTAAGGCAGTCTAAAGAGCCCCACAACAAAACCTGCATCAGGCACTGGGACAGGTTACCCAGAGATGTTATAGAATCTCCATCCATGGAGATTTTTAAGACCAGGCTAGACAAAGCCTTGGCTGGGATTATATAGTTGGGGATGGTCCTGCTTTGAGCAGGGGATGGGCTAGATGATCTCCTGAGGTCCCTTCCAACCCAATTTTCTATGATTCTATTATTCTAATTGGCACTGGAACAACTCGAAGATAGGACAGAATTAAGCTCTATGGAAATTGGTTTGTATGTTAGATACTCTACCCATTAACGTGAGAAAGAGCCTTATTTTTGTAACTGGATCTTATAAAGGCATCCTGATTCACTATGAAGCTGGTATTAGATATAATTTTTATCATTAGCCCAAGTTGTGCATTGTGTGGCGCAGAGGTTTCACAACTACTGCCTATACAATTGTACCATGCCATCTCTTTCAACAATATAATGCAAGTAAGTTGTAAGAGTTTTCTTTGATTGATAACAAGAAAAAGGAAAAAAAAAGGAGACTGAGCAAGGAAATGGTTACTTCCTTTAAATAAAACCCCTCAACTTAGCACTATTTGTTACCTCCTCTGAGGGCAACAGGACCTTTTCTTCTAAGCGGTTCAACATGTGTTCAATTGCCGACATGCGTTTGTTGAGTTCTAATATCTATGGAAGAGGAGAAAGAAAAGAATACAGTACAGAACAGATCCCATCACCAGTGCCATCACCATGAGAAAACAGTGGAGACCGATCAAATCCACAGAAAAAACGAACACAGTGCAGAACAGATCCTACCACAACCACTGGGTAAACATGAAGTACCTAACAGCTTGCTATTAAGAGAACAGACCATAGGCTGGAGTTTCTGAAGTGTCATGCAACTCGGAAGTACAAGTCCCATTTGAAGTCAATGGGTTAGGAGGAAAGAATAATGGTGAACTTATAAAGTCCTGGGCTTGGGTCAGCTTGATTCTTTGCAGGAAACTTCATTTGGATTTGTCAACCTAAATGGTGAGAGAGGAAGGGCATCTTGTTTAACTGAACATCTCCCTGTTTGTCAGTCATAGAGTATCTCACTGGATGCACTTTGGCAAAGAAAATACTCTCTTGATCCTGTTCCAGCTATATGAAGGCTTGGAAGGGCTTTCAAAAGGGGAAGTTTCACAAAGACAGCAGCTGGTATGTTTTATGTGCAAAGGACTTGAGAAAGATTCAAATGCAGCAAAAATGCTTCAACTTTAACACTCCTTCATTCAGGGTGCATCTACACAAGATGCTATGGTGCAGTAGCAATGAGATAGTGCCCAGCAGCTCATTGCTACAGAGCACACTGGGCATGAATTGTGACAGTGCGCAGGGTAAAATAACCATGCAGGGGATGGCACTGCATAGTTAAGCCGGTTATTGCACAGTCATTTAATACGTGGTTAAGCAAGTACTTAAATGTCAGCACAGTAACAACTGCATAGCCTTCTGCCCGTGTAGACGCAGCCCCAGTTATAGTTGGAGCAGTTCTTCTGTACTTGAGTAATTCTCAGCTCATTCACATGTAACAACAAAACATACCATCAGCTGCCCTTTTGAAATATTCCCTTTTTGAAAGGACTCCAGGTGTTTTGTGTCCACACCCCACGAAATGTAGGCTCCATTAGAGGCAACAGTCACAATCTGAACAATCCGACACTGGAGCAAAACATCCGATGTGTACCTCATTTCACGGACTGACTTGGTTGTATGGTAGGAACACCTGCCTGCTGTTGACCAATACCATCAGTCTTTTTCCTCATGTGATATCATGGGCATCCAATGCAATTCATTTTATGGTCATTAATGTACTAAGCTAAGGGTGCAGCGGCAGAGTGGCAAAGGAATCTTGCTATGGCTACAGAAGTATAAGTTTGAGTCTTGCTCCAGACCTACACTCAAAGCCACCTATAGTCAAACCCACCTGTACATGGTTACTTGATCATTTGGACTAGGCCGGATATGAGCCTTGGATGGCTTCTATTTCTTACTGACCCATCTTCCAGCCATCAACTATCTCACCAGCCTCTTCCTATTTCAGCAACAGAAATGTCCATATTTGAAAGGAGGTGAGTATTTTCTGTGCCTATTTTAAAAATACATTTCTAAAAATATTTCCTTTGAATTTCTTCTCTTAATTCACTGCAAATTTTACTTTTGCTTTCAAAAACCAAAACAATTTAAATTCAAAATAACTTTTTTAATACTTTTAAACATTTACATGCTGTTCTTTGCTTCTCTTTCTTTTCTCCAGTGAACAAAGGGGAAAAAAACAAAGTATGGTAGAAGAAATTAAAAATCCAGATAATAATGTTGTTCAAATGCCTAAACAAACTATTTCATTAAAGCAAAATTTTAAAAAAGAAGTCAACATTTGTATACTTTTTCCTTTCCTGCCAAAAGCTTTTAATGTAGGAAAAAAATGTGAAAATTTATGGCTAGTTTTAAATGAAAATGATGTTCTTTATTTCAATACTCATTCCATGTGAGATATTCAGTGAAAAACAGGAACAATTAACAAATGAAACGACAGAAACCCTGTGTGGGTTTTTTAAAACACGTACATCTTCTTATGTAGCTTTTGTATTTGTACTATGTGGTTAATTAGATCGTCACGTGAACTTGGAGCGGATGTATCTGCTTAAAAGAATAATGCAAATCTGATAAGACAAATGTAAAAAGGGGGCACTTCAGAGGAGAGAGTCCTTACCATTATTAATTGTAAGCATCTTTACCAGCATTAAATGCACACAGAGGCACTGATTCAATAAATTCTAAAGTGATTTCTTAGTAAACACCATTGAGTCCAGATCTTGTAATATGTCAGTGATAACAGGCAGGCTGCTGAGGGACCATCAGCTTCATGAAGGGAATCAGGAAGACAGGTCAAGGAAGAAAACCCAGTGTTAACAACCCAAGTGGTAGTACTGCCTGGCTGAGGCAATTATATATTGCTTCAGAAATGTCAGATCACTAAGAAAACCTTTTATAAGTCTGTAATTCTCATTTTGCTCTTTGGTAGGGCCCCTAATGAAAGAGGTCAGCAACCTTACGCTAACAGCAGGCTGAATTAGCAGAGCTTGGTCTCCTTGGGCCAGAGGCAGTGGACTGGAGACAGCCATTAGATGGCATATTCTTGTATAAATAGGCTTTGTGGAATGGGGCCCCAAATCTCTTTGGGGGCCAGATCTGGCCTGTAGGCCATACACTGCCAACCCCTGTTTCATGGGATGCAAGTGGCAGTTTTTCCAAGGCCCCTGATTATTAGCACAAAGTGACCACAGTGGTGACGTGAACCTGTGGACAATGCCCAAGGAATCTCTCCTCCTCTGAACCAGTCACATACAAAAGCCGGATTCTGCCCTCACGTACAAATGCACAGCCTCACGTAGATCCATGGGGTTATTTGAGGGTAACAGGAGAATTCAGCCGCAAGTGCTTTTAGTTCGTCTACTCAGCTGTTTCAGTCGTAATATGGTTACACAGGCCCAAGCTATAAAATTGCACGACCCAGCCATGCAAGCTTGAAGGACAATCAAGTTACTGCTTCAGCTTTGTCCAATTTTTAGAACCTTGTAATATACAGCATCACAGTGAAAACTGTGCTCCCTTCCTTTAATAAATCCCAATTAGGCACTGAAAAGTCACAGTGTTCTCTGCATGACAAAGGCTGGCAGACAAATGCTCTATACAAAAGCATTTTTTTAGAACACAAAGTTGCCAGCACAGGGAATCAGAGCTTTGGGTGCTGTAAATTGTCATTGACTTCACTGGGGTGAGGGCAACTTTCACCAGCTGAGAACCTACCCCCCAATTCTCAATGATCAAATAATGATTCATGAGACCTGAAACCCTCCAGTAATTTGAGGTTTTATCATTTTAATGGTTACACTGAAGACCACACCATGCTTCTGATGATGCCTTGCAATGGATGTCAAATCTAAAACTGCACAACCTCAGTCAAGTCAGTTAATGGAGTCTCTCTCTGTTTCTTCATTTATAAAGAGGATTTAAAAGTTTCATAATTGAAGTTGCATGAATAAATTAAAGGGAGGGTTGTTTTTTTTGTTTTTTGGGGGGTGGAGAGATGTATTACAGAAACAGCATAACATATCACTCTAAAGTGAATCCTTTTTTATTTGTATATAGAGACAAGGACTCCAAGACAAAAGTGCCCTGAACTTGGCTTCTACTCCCAGCTCTGTCACTGACCTGCTGGCAAGTCATTACAATTCTCTGGCAGTTCCATCATTAAAATGGGGATAATAGTATTTCATTTTACACACTTTGAGATCTGCTGATGAAAAATGTTGGATAAGAGCTGGGTATTATTCTAATGTCCATTTTCCAGGCATTTCTAGAAGAGACAGTTTGCTCTGTCTTTTACAAAATTCTTGATTTCTCTCTTTTAGGTTTAAATCTGTCCTTCTTTTCTATAGCAAGTTATACTTATCTGATATTAATGGGACAGCAAATCTGTAAATGAAAGCACAGTTTGGCCCCATTTTCCCCACTATAAAGTACTGTGTTTACTGTATGTGTGATTTAACTATATGTAGTTTCAGACATCCAATTCATTTTTTTCTTTATCACTTAATATAAAACTAAAGAACATTCATTGACTGAAACATACAGCAAGAAAAATAAATAAGGAAAGGAACAGTCTGGTAAAATCTACCTTTCAGTGTGTAAACCTTAATTAAATTGAGGTTTCTTGGGATAAAGATAATTTTTGAATTTGTTATAAATCTTACAGTCCTAACACTTGTGTTGGGATGTACAAAAAATATATGACAGATACCCTTGCTGTTAATCCACATGAGAAATTTACTTTAACTGCATGTTTGGTGAAATAAAAATGCATGTTTTTGTTTAGAAGCTGAGCATGGAGTTATGCTAAATCAGCATAGAGTTATGTGATATAACTTGCACAAATGCCCTTGTGGGGGAGGGAAAGAGTCTAACTCCCCGCTATCAGCTTAGAAAAAAATTGTAACTCTTGCAGCCTTTCAGACAGCTCCAACTCTACAATTTTTCTCTAGTATCATTCAACAAATGTATGTGACAAGTCAGCATGACAGACCCCAATTTTTTGGAACATTCAAAGAGCTACAAAAGAAAAAAAGGGGTGGGGTGGGGGGGTCTTGCAGCTGATTAGTTATCCTACTCCATGATTTTGTTTGATCATAAAGTGCTGGTATCTTCAATTTAATAAAGTCTTTACTACACAGGAAACTACATGCAACTTGCAAAATAAACTGGGCACGTCTGGAGAACTGAAAGCATCAAATAGAGACTTTTCATTAGGATGAAATGGAGCGTGAAGTAGAACTCCAGTCATTTCATTTGTGCAACATGAAAAATACAGAGTGAGGAAAAACAATGGTGTCAGAGCAAATATCTGTTTATAAAAACACAAAGGAATGAAAAGGGACAGGCAGAAGGGTCGGTTTTCCCTCTGACCAGACATATATATAACTCACACTAATGTTAATGCAGTTTAACAGGTGCACTTCTTGGTGCAAAGCCCTGAATCCAGTTCCACCAGTACAGCCGTGGTAGAATCAGTTGCAGCTGCCCTGCACCTGACAGCAGAATACAGCCTGGAATGTTGCTTGTGTCATACTTTCCTACATGCCATCTGGCCATAAAAGAGCAGCTATAAGTTATTTTAAGAGCCAGCCAAGGGGCTGTAAAACAAACTTGTCCAGCCTCCTAAACATTCTCTCTGTGCAAGGAGAAATGCTGGGGAATTCACTTCAAATGCCCTATGTCCTGCTCCCTCCTATCCCCAGTGCAGGGACTGTGGTGCCGCACTTCTGTGCTGATGGAAACACTCCGTGATTTCACAGGCAACTGGGGCTACTTTTATGCTTACCTACTGCACGTTCCATCTGCTCTAGTCCTACCCCCTGGTCCTAGGCCAACTCAGCAGAAGATTAATTGAAAAGGCATCTTATATGCTTTGCAAGTGGATTGCAAAGTCTCAGTCAGAGATCAGATTGGAAGGGTCACAGGGAATGGCTTAAGACCCCCTTGTTACCTGATTTCCAGAGTGATTAATGCTCTCCTGAGATGAGGCTCTGTTTCTGCGTTTTATGTGATGGGGTAACTTGTGAACTCCCTTCACATCCTCATCGGAGGTGTCCATATCTGCAGAGTAATGGGGTGGGTGTTGCCCATTCCAGAGGCTGCCTGTAGAAAAAGTGTGTATTAGAGTTACTGGGGGCTCAGTGCAGGGATTGTTGGGTATCAGGACAAAACAGGGAAGAAATACGAAGAGGGATGAGGAAAAAAAAAAAAAGGACCTTGACAGCACAGCATAAGTAACTTAGGATGCCCGGGCAGTTGTACATGTGACAAAACAAGCCTTTTAAGTGGTTCAACTGCCCTTTTAAACTGTTTTAGTGGAGTTATCATCTGTGACAGCATAAAACGTTTTCATTTCTTCATGCTGTACATGTACGGCAGTGTATTTTGCTTTAAATGACTTTGTTACATAGCAAAGTAAAACACATCCAATATATTTTTGTTTTGCTATGTAACAAATTGCAGTGATACATCCGGAGAAGGCAGTGAGGACAGTGCACAGGGTGCTGGAAGCCCAGGCGTGCTTGGGGAAGGTCGGGCTTGGTGGGCTTCCAGCACCCTGTGCACTGCCTCAGCCACCTTCTCTGGCCACTAGTACACACAGTCACCCTGCTGCTACCTTCCTGCACTGCCCTATGGGCAAGCCAGCCCATTCCCGGATGGTCCCAGGCAGTGGGAATGGTGCATGGGGCGCTGTAAGCCTGCCAAGCCTGAGCTTCCCCAAGCACGTCTAGGTTTCCAGTGCCCTGTGCACTGTTAGATTGGGCCGGGTGCTGCCTGTGATCTGGGGCAACACCCACCCCCTAGCACCCCGCCTGGGCAGTCCCAAGGGGTGCCACTGCTGTGGAGTGAAGCACTGGGCCACCTCACAGCTCAGGGGCTGTGCAGCCCCATGACAGTTTGCATGAGCAGGCTCCAAAAAGAAAGAAGAAGAAGAAGAAAAAAGCAACGAGGGGCCTACTTTTCTTTTTTTTCCAGTAGAGCTTGCCCACCTCTCCTGTGGCCAAAGGCAAGCTTCTGGTGGGCCCTGGTTCTTCCCTCCGTGGCACCAGTGCCCCCCCAGGCAGTACCTGCCTGCTAACACCCTGCCCAGGCAGTCCTGGGGCACACTGTCACCATGGAGGGAAGGACTGGTACCCCTGCCCACAGCTCAGGCGGTGCTTGGACCACCAGCAGCTCGCCCCCTGACTATGGGAGACATGGGCAGCCTCTGGGAGAAAAAAAGAAAAAGGAACAAGCTTATCGCCACTTTCTTCTTTTTTTTTTTTCCTCAGTGGAGCCTGTCTGTGTGAGCTGCCACCAGGTTGCACAGCCCCTGGGCTTTGGGGGGGGGGGGGGGGGGGCTGGTCCTTCTCTCCATGGGCAGGGTTGGCTGGGAAAAAAAAAAGTGGGCCCCTTGGGTGAGCTGCCAGTAGGCCATCACGGTTTCGTAACAGTGAAAGAAGTCCCTAAATTGAAATGGTGGATTTTTAATTGACACAATTAAAAACACACTGCTTCAATTTAGAGAGAACTAAACCCCATCACATGTACAAGGGGCCCTGTGGGTAAGGAAGCTGCCATTTAAATTGTGCAAATGGCATTAACCATTTACCAGCTCCCATTAATTTCATTAATAAAGAAACAAAGACCAACTTAAGCATGTCTGTTAATTTGTGGGGAACAGCTTGCTCCCATGAGGCTGGTTGTACCTCATTAGGACTTGTTATATTGCTACTCACAGAGTGCTTGGCCTCCAATAGACTTGACACTAAACAAGATCAAGTCTACATCAGGGCTGCTAACAGATGAGACAGGCTAGGACAACTGACCACCCACCCTGCATGTCAGACTATCTGAATGCACTTCCTACTTGTGGTATTAGGAAAATGGGGTTATATTCACAGATTCAAAATTCAGCCTCAATAAATAGCAACTGAGCTACACCTGGCAACTACTCCTCTGACCTGTATGAAAATAACAAGTTTTAGACAAAAATGCCCCACAAAAATCAACTCTTCTAATTAGTCCCCTTGTTAGGGGGGTCAGGAAAGAGACCAAATACTGAATGAATGGTGGTGAAGAATAAACAATTCCCAGATTTTAGGACAGTGTAGGGAAGACTATAATCACAGAAAAAGGCAGGCCACAGACTTCACCTGTAAGACATTTAAGACAACAGTTTTCCCAATCATTTTAGGACAGGCAGCTGAGTATTAATAAATCAAAGACATTAACTTAAAGAAACATGGGAGAATATTTAAGGAGTGCACATGCTCAAGTACTGCAATCCTTTTCTGCTTGGCTGTCCCATTAGGAGAAAGCACATCAATGAAACAGGAGTTCATTTTCCATAATATCATTTGCTGGAGTATTTATAGTAGCTGTAAACTAGTGACCCTTCAACAAACAGTGCACAACTCCTGAATGCAACTGCATGAGCTTCAGAATAAAGGAATAAAGAGATTGACCCTTGCTGTACACTTGAAATGGGAACATCTGGTGCACAACCTGAAAACAAGGACAAAAGGTAGCTTTCCAAGCCATATGCAGAGCTGACTTAATAGGCCAGATGGTGTCAAGCAGCACAAACACCTGGTTTCTGTGGAGCTACTCTAATTTACACTATGGAAGGGCTTGGCCAGGGTAAAATGTGGTAGCAACGAAGTTTGCAGCAGTACTATCTGGCTTGGGATTCCACCCACACGCTAAGCAAGGAAAGGCTGAAAGACCTCAGCTCAATTATAATGATTCAATGGATAACACCATTTGCACTTGGTCAGTCTGCCCAGCCACTCAAGCTCAAATATTAGCAGCAGTATCTAATCTGTGTATGCCAATCTGAGGCACAGGTGTGCACCTAATTTTGAAAGTCAGCCCCTTCATGATTTGGTCATTTTACTATTTTAAAAGTGCCCAGAAACTGTTAACATATCTTTTCTGGTAGAAATGCTCTCCAGCCTGCCCTTCCATGAAAGGCACAGGCTATCTTTCATTAGAAAAACCTACCAAAGTTGGGATTTCTTTCCAGGCTCTTCCTGCGCGAGTTCACCGTGAGCCGGACTTCAGTGCTGAACTCCTGCTCTGGAGGGGCCAGGTGCTGTCCCTGCTCCTGCAGGATGTGATGGAACATTGAGGCAAGGTCTGCTTCTGCTATCAGCGATTCCTTCTGGGACGTGTCCTCCCTACCGTCTGGGAAATCTGGATATGACTGAGAAAAGAGGACACTGGTGAGGCAGGCTGCATTTTTTCTCCCTCCACCAAAAAATTAATTGATTAATGTTTAAGTTCCAATTCCTGGACCACAACCTAACAACTGACCTTTTTCATCTCAGTGAGGAATCCCACGTAGGATTTGAGAAGTCTGCCATAGGGATTTGAATATCAACCTCCCAGGAATTTCAATGAAATTGAGCATTTCAGTCCCATTACCCAATCCCAACCTTTTCAGGCTGTAGGTTGGAATGACCCAGCTAGGGTAAGCATCAAGCAGGTGCTAAGACCTAGCCAGTGCTATCATGATGGCAGAGGTGAAATGCCCTCTGCTGCTGCTTCTTCCCACTGTGGCACAGGGGAAACCTGCTGCTGCCAAATGCTGACAAAGCCCCACATCCATGGGCCAGATCTAATGGCTCTGAGGGGTGGATCTGGCCAACAGACCATAAATTGCTGACTCCTACTCTAAGGCTGCCTGAAAATCTCAACCCGTGTCTGTGTTTTTAAAATGCTATATCCTTTCACTGATAAGATAGTAACATAACCCATCGCAAAACACTTCATATTCCCCAGACTTTGTTCATCTGGTTCCTACATTTTCCCATGTGACAAAAATCATCCATTAGGATGGGCTTGATAAAAATATATGTAAACATAAGTGTTTGGGCCAAAAGTCTCATCGAATATATTCCGTTTAAAGAAGGCTGTTTGACTTTTAAAAAACAAAGCTGTTGTTACATGTTTCAATACAACCTAGTTTTAACACAGAAGCAGAGTTTCAGACAATGAGGTACCTTAAGAAACTTACTTGTTAGAGCCAGCTGGAAATTTTCTAATGAAATCAAGTATCACTGGGAAATGCTAGTCAACAGCGCCCAAGGCATTTTATTCAAATTCATTTGATTCATCCCAGGCTTGTTTTCAGTGAAAATTCTTCAAGGTAAAGTTCTGACAGAACAGTCCTGATTCCAAGGTTTGGGACTCTTAGCACAGACCTGCTAGATAGACTGCACCAGAGCTGAGGACCCAAGAAGCTCCAGTCCCTCTGCTTGGGGCAGTCTGGGCTCATGCCAGAGTTTCCAGGTTCACTTTTTGTGGAGGCATGACCTCATAAGCCCTGGCTCTAATCAAGGCTTGGTTCCTTGCTCCACAGCAGGTATCTTGCAAGCCTTCAGAAGCCCAGCTGGAGCCAGGGATACCAGAGCTTCTAGGCTCTCTGTTGCAGAGTTGGAATGCAAAGCCTGGAAATACTGAGATCAACTCCCATGTTTTGGGACTGTCCACACAAGGGGACTTGCCAGGGAGTCACAGGCTGTTGGAGTCCTGCTGGTTATTCAGTTATTTTAGAGTGGAAAGTTCTGTGCCTTTTTGTTTTGGAGACTGCAAGGAATGGATGCAAGAACCAACAGAACAACGTGCAAGTAAACCAAAAAGGAATACGAGAAGGACACATTCTCATTTCTTAGCTCACCAGTCCTCTCTCCAATTTGCTATCCTCATTTTGATTCATGGTGTTCAATGTCCATAGGGAAGAAGAAGAATGCAAAGGGAAAACGTAATCATCATTATCCTCTCCGAAATTCCAAGGAGACAAACAAAGGGAAGAGAACAAAATGGAGGGAGCAAGGAAAGAGAGGTAAGCAGTTCCCCACCACCTTCCCAGTACCTGGAGGCCATCCTGGTTGATTGCAGCTGGAGAAAGTTGCATAGACTGACGGCGAGATTGAGCGGAATATTCTGAGTCCAGATCAAAATCAAAGGGATGAACGGATAGCAGGCGCTTTGTCTTACGCATCTTAGAAAGCATAGAAAATGCAAGAAGGCAAAATTCAGCACATACATGATTGGTCTTTAGAAAGAAATTCATGTGTCCTCCAGGCCACGACTGGCTCTCCCTGCTTCTCTTTCTCGTTGTATATTTCCATCCCAACTTCCTATGGGCCTTATAGTACCAGATGCATCTTAGTTTGCCCTGTTCTATTCCAGGAGTAAAATGCTGCTCTCCTTTTCTTCCATGAAACCCTGGTGAAGTCAATTCATGGGTGGTTGAGAGCAAAATTTGGACTACAATGTTTACCTGTTTCATGGTAGGGGGTGCATTCAAGAGAATGAAACTACTAGCATCCAATATTGAGCATGTACATTGGACATGCTCAAAATTAGGGTCCATTTCAGTATAAACTGAAGTCTAATGGAGAGACTCCCTTTGTATTCAATGACCTTTGGATCAGAAGTTTTCTGGGCAGTTGATGAGAAATCCTTCACTGGAGGTTTATTAAGGAGTTATGGAAAAGTGGGATTGGCACAGATTTTACAGAGATCTCCAGGAGATATTGTTGAATTCCTGAAAGTTTTGTTTCCCTCTACAGCAAAGAGATAAATCAGAAAGAGACACAAGCTTGGAGATAGTATTTAAAAGCGCCTCTTGTATTTAACAGTGTCTCTTGAAATTATTTCAATATGCATGTTGTTTTATGATTAATTGTCTGAGATTTACAGGATCACTGATAAAGAACTAGTAGCTCTGGAGAAAGATCAAGTTGTACAAAACTTTGAGACCTTCTTTAAGAGACTGTAACTCCATTTCAATCCAACATTTCTAGGATAAGTGCTTATAGACCTAGAAGACATAGATGATGTAACAAATGACTGTGATAATGAAACAGTCTAAAGGTCTGACCTCTCGGACACTGAGACTAAAGCAAAAGTCCATTTAGAATAATGGCCTTCCAGCTGAATTATGATGGATATTAAAACAGTAGAACCAGAATCTTCACAGGATTTTTGTTCATTAGCCCCTGTAAAAATGAAGCTTTGCAAACTAGCTGTGGATATATATATTATGCTGGTGTTATGTAGCGTAATGCATGATATCTATCTCTCTATTGCAGCAAACAGCTCTGGAGGACTCCTACATTTCTTCAGCTGTGACTTTTATTTCAAAGGGCACCACTTCTCTGCTCAGCTCTGCACAGATGAGCTCTAGCTGAACGGAAAAGCAGTGCTCTTTGAAGGAAAAAAAAGTGCAGTGAACAGCTGAGCAGCTCATCCTTAACAGAGCAACATACTGCAAAGTAAGCAGGTTGTGAGCCCCACAACATGTCTGAGTTCATTGTGCTTCATCTTCATCTTGGTGTACTTTACAAATGACAGGTGATATCATTCCCATTTTTCAGATTGGGAAACTGAGTCACAGAGGGGTTAAGTGACTTGCTCAACGTCACTCTGCAAACCAGTAACAGACCTGGGAATACAACCCAGCTCTTCTGAGTCTTAGTCCAGGGCTCTAGCTCCTACATCACAACATCCCATCCTATTTAAAAAGAAGTGAATAAAAAGTGGGGGTTTTATTAACTCATTTGGCATAGATATAAGGAACTTAAAATATTGATCAGGGAAAAGGAAACTTGACTAAGATCTTCAGAAGAGGTTAATGAACATTAGTTTTCTGAGGACCTGAATGGAGACAGCATAAAGGAATCTGTTCTGTTTTACATGATTAATATTTAGCCTGAAAAACATTCAGCACAGAAAACTGTTACATGGGAGAATAGTTTTTTTCCCCCAGAAAATGAAAGCAAGAGAAGACACCACTCTGCACAGGAGAGAAAGTTCCCATCAACAAAGAAAACCCAAAAGCAAGAGCATGGCCCATACTTAAGTATATGGAAGTAGGCCTAATGTGTCTGCATCAGGAAATGCTTACCCTGTTGTAGCACTCAGCTTCTGCATGACTTATGACATCATCATCACCATCTTCCCCTCCCCTGCTGCTGGTGCGGAAATGACGTTCTCCTAGACAGGGGAACAAAGGCTTTGGGTGTTTTGATGGCTCTAGCTGCCCCACAGCTAGTCAGGGATGGGTTGTCAGAACATTTTGGAGCAGTGTCTCCCACCCCGAATACCTACATTAGGTATAAATGCCTCAATCCTTATCACCACCATACGGAGAAAAGAACATTCTGCCTGTGCTTTCCTGAGACAAGCCATCGTTGATCATACTGGTCTTCTCTAATTGATTTTGGTGACTGGGACTGGTCCTTTTCAAATCACTGGCTGGGTCTGTACTATCATAATATGCTGACTGAGTCTAAGATCATATTTCACTTTAATAGATGCTCCACAGAATGCATCATAGGTTGGTATTATATAGCACAATGCACACAACAAAGGTTCCAACCCCCTGCACACTAGTTGCTTTTTCTCCTGTGGTCCCTTTCTCCAGCCTTTTCATGCACAAGATATAGCAATACAGACCCCAAAAGCCATTCAGAAGTAAACGGGAGGTTTTCTGACAGTAAACTGTTGCATATTTGAGCTTGAAAAGTCTCATTGGGTGTGTCTACATGAGAAGTTTACTGCAGAGTAGATTAATTAGTCTAACACACGGGTGGGCAATTATTTCAGGCAGAGGGCCACTTACTGAGTTTTGGCAAGCCATTGAGGACCGCATGACAGGCAGCCAGGGACAGATAAATATTCATTTTCTAAATTTTTTTAGGGGACCTGCGGGCAGGATAGAATAGCCTGGTGAGCCGCATCTAGCTTGCGGGCCGCATTTTGTCCACCCCTGATCTAACACATGTACCTCTATCGTAGGAGAAAGCCTTCTTTGTACATTTCCCTTCTGGACACTGATATAACAGAAACCCCTTCTTGCCCCCCCACCTCCATTTGTGCATTTCTTTTTCCTTCCAAGTACTAGCAGAGACCTAACACACTCATTGAATGGGTGTGGAAGGGCTCAGAGCAAGCCAGAAAGCTGCAGTAGATTTCTGTAGGAGAAACCTACAAAATACATCTACACATCAATTAAGCTCAGTGTCAGTAAAGAAAACAAAAGAACTAAAATATCCACTTCTAAGACAGTAAATATATCCTGGTGCTAATAACTCACTCACTGTCCCTGGTAACCTTTGATCCTCACTATCTCATATTGCATTTTTATGTATTTCTCACAGTGCATTTTTTTTTTATTTTTCATCTGTCTCATCTTTACCATGACATTTTGTATTTTATATTTCATACTTTTAAACCCTTAAGGAATGTACTTCCTGTAGAATGAAGTTACACCCTGGACCATTGTTAAAAACTGCACTGAAATTGTAATGTGATTAAAATCTGTGATATTGGGCTGGTCCCCCTTGAGTGAATGTGAGTATATATGGTGACCAGTATGTAATTAACTGACAATAGCCTAGCCAGAGGAATTTACCGCTACAAAACTCTACTCTACAAGCCATTTTAGGCTAAACAAGCCAAGGAACTGATTCCTGGGACTGAGCACCCACCGTTGACTATTCCTGCAACCCTTAACATTGGGTTAGGGTGGCAGCACAGGGAGCGAGGAAGCTGTTGCCCCTCGCCCAGATCAAGGACCCGGCTCTGAAGACTGGGAAGAGTGGAAGGAGCGTGATGCTGAGGGCTACTACCGAGGAGCTGGAGGGAGCACCAGCCACCAAACCAGGTGTCAGCTCCACTGGGCTCAAAGAGACACTCCAGGTGGGGGATGAAGGGCATAAACAGCACAGGGGGCTCCAGAAGCCAGGCCCCATGGCACAGAGCTGCCCCAACAAGGGAGAGAGGGAAGGTATACTGAGAAGGGCCTCTGCGGGTCCAGCGAGCCCACAGGTGAGGTGAAGAGTGAGGAGGAGGAGGAGAGTGTTATAGCTCGCAGTCTAGCCCAGACCCAGTTTATAGCCAACTAGGGATCTCGGGCATCTAGAGCCTGGCATTGGTAGGCAGACTGTGACTGTAGGTGGCCAGAAGGCAAAGGGCCCCTCCCTTTGCACTTCCTCATATTTTTGTTGTTGTTGATAACTTTTCTTGTGTTTCCCACTTTTGGAGGGGTTGTGGTATACAGCATCTAAAGCCCAAGTGCTGCTTAGGTCTAAAAGGGGTTCCTATCCCCAGGGAGGCAAGGCAGGGGTTAGGCGCTGTGGGCGGAGGCAGGCCCAGCAGGTGGATAAAACTGTCCCCATGAACATCTGCAGAGCCTCAACAGCCAGGGAAGCCGGCCGAAGGACACTGTGAACCAGTCAAGGCAGGGTGTGAGGACGAGGTAGAGGGGAAGTGGAGCCTCGCAGAAGACCTCCATACAACTGTCCCATAGTCAAGAGGACCCCGGCAGTCGGTCAC